GGGGTACGTGTGTGCGCGAGCATACGTGCGTGCGTGCGCATATACAGTATATGTGCGTCTGCCTGTCTGGGCGCACACGCGTGAAGATCGAGCAATTTTACATCTGATATACTATTAATATACATAAAACGCAACGAGCAATAGGGCAACTAGAGCACGTCTAGCTCCCGCAATATGTTTTGTCACAATAGGACCTAATTAAATATATGCTTAGGCTACCCTAGGATAGCAGAAAGAACGGATGTACTCAATAAAATAATATGTTAATCTTATGCCTTCTCGATAAAATCTAGACTCCGTCAAGTTAATTTTAATTGCTGTATGATCTTGAATTTGACTCCGTTCGGGAATCAATCTAACATTTTTGCTGATTTTGAATTTGTTGGTTCGTGTCTTACAGGATTTTTTTTTTTTTTGGTCATCAGCAGGTAATCTAGAATCTTGACTAGATCTAATATTATTATGTCAATGAGAATTGACGAAAGTGTAGCATCAGTGAAACCTTTATTGCACTGCTTTACGGACTGTACACATATAAGGCACATCAACGTCCGACCAACAAAGCGTACATAACATGCGGGAATTATGAGATCACAGGTCTTGGGTCCCTGCATTTGTTCATTTGCAAAGATTTTAAATCTTTGACACATTATAGGTCTAAAAAAATGTGATTTCTGAATAGTGGATCCACTATAGAATACCTATCCCCAAGCAATAGCAAATAGCTTTTCTGTTGTTTTTGTGACGACCAAGGGGAACTACTCTAGCAAACTTTCTCTTCACTACAACTGTCCACAGTGGCAATGATCACGGATGACCAACTGAGAAGTTGTATTTCAACTTCCAGTAACTTTAAAGTATTGTAGAAAAGAAAGTGTCAAATATTATCTTTAGTGTTGCGGTGGTGCACCTCTTTATAACTTTATGAATCTGAGACGTCCTTTCCATTCCGTTTATGAATTATATAGAGTCTAGATATAGAGGATCTAAGACATTTTATAGCCTCTAAGCCTAAATTTAGATCTAGAAATCTACAATTTATATAAATATGCAACCATTGGGTCATTGAAGTAATTGGAATCCCAAATAATTAATGATGTTAGAATCTACTTCCTTGGTCAGTCTAGAAAATCTACATTTTACTTCAACATTAATTGATTGACTTGAATAACGCAGTGAAGGAAGAGAAATATGATCAGTTTACAGTGAGTGAGCTGATATAATACTCATCATACTCGCAGTCATAGTATACCATACAGTACAGACAGCTGAATTGATCTGCACGGTATGGCTTCTCCTTCGACATACAACGTCAACAGAATGCCCGATTTGATCAGCAGTAGTGTCAACGTTGAAGGTAATAATGGTGACAAAAACAAATTATTTCAATTTAGAAAGTGGCTATTCTCACCCGCCCGGAAGTTCTCGCAAGATCTACTCCTCCCCTCTTCTTTCTCTCTCTGTCTCTTTCTGAATACTGTCTATCAGTGTGGACGATCAAATTGACCAAAACAAAGTTAAAAAATGATGTTAAAACACAAAAGTAAATTAATTTGGTTGTCTACAAAAAGATGCTACGGCTATTTAACTTTTCGAATCGAGCCGAACTACGCAGGTCGCCATTTTGTTTTGTTCTCTCTCTTTCTCTCTCTCACTCTCTCTCTCTCCACTGCCCACAGACAAAATTGTACGCTTTTAGTAGGCTACAAGTACAGTTGTAATGGAACGTTTGTTCACAGCACAGAATTCTACAATTTTTCTCTTATCACAGTGTAGAATTCTGTGGTTTAGGGTAAACGCAAAATTTGTTGACACGCGCACCGGGTGAGAATAGCCACAAGACCCGCCTGCACTATTCTCACCCCGGGTGAGAATAGAGGTGGCCTTCAATTTAAGTAGATAAACAACAAATTTAGTGTTTGGAAGAGGCTAGCCGTACTTAATGACGGCTAGACTGGCAGTCTAGCCGTACTTAAGTACGGCTAGACTCGCAGTCTAGCCGTACTTATTCTTAATATGATGGCTAGACTCACCATTTACAAAAAAATAGGCCTACTGAATTGTAAATATACATTTTTAGTGTGCAGTACCTAAAGTATTTGTATTTGAGACGAAACCAGGTGCTTTAATGACAGTGCATGTATTTTAAACCTCCTGTCTAATGTTAATAGGGCTAAGATAAGTACGGGTAGACTGGCAGTCTAGCCGTACTTAAGTACGGCTAGACTTCTTGTCTTGCCGTACTTAAGTACGGGTAGACATCCAGGCTAGCCGTACTTAAGGACGGCTAGACTGTCAGTCTAGCCGTACTTAATATTGATGGCTGAATTGTAAATGAAATTTTTAGTTTGCAATGCCTAAAGTATTTGTATTTCAGACAAAACCAAAAGGTGCCTTACTGACTTGCATGTATTTGAACCTGAATAATTACTAGATCTAGATCTGAGACCTGTGTACTTAACAGGCTTGAGTCGATAGGGCCAAACCTAGATTTAAGTACGGCTAGACTGGCAGTCTAGCCGTACTTAAGTACGGCTAGACTCTCAGTCTAGCTGTACTTAAGTACGGCTAGCCACTTCGTTAGTGTTTCAAGATGTTGAAATTTTAATTATAGCCTCCTATAATATAGGAAGCCGAAATTATAACTCTATCTTTCTGTTGATTTTGAACTCTACTAATCTAGAATTTAATTAGAAAGTCTTTCTCTCTACTCTAGTTTTGTTAGTCTGGCTCTGTCATAGTACAGGTAGGCTAGTATGTATAATTGAATCTTTATATATAATATCATTTATAGTGCTCAATATGTTCGAACAGATGTGAATTTATCCAGCGCATTATAATCAGTCACATGAGAAGTTAGATGACAAAATAGGGAATACAGTAATGTCGTCACATGATCATTTTGTCACACCAGTGCAGTCAAGACGTCACAGTCATCTCGTCACAGGGTCATTTCGTCACACCCCAAATCCACAAGGATTTCGTCACACACTTGCACACATCAATGGGCCTCTATAGAGAGGCCCTGGCCCTTTTCAATTGAAAATTTCAGCATTCGTAATGGAAAAATGCATTGGGGCGGGTTACTTCTAGGGAAACGCTGCCCTTCTTAGGCTATATCAATTTTCGAGAGACTAGGGAAGTCTTTTCGTCACACATTATAATTGGAGTGTGACATTTGCATGTCAGCAGAAGACTTTTTTTCGAGGGACGCAGGTTTATTTTCTCACACTGATGAAGTTGTATTGAATTTAGGGAGCAAGTCAAACTTTGAGGGTTTCAAGATTTGTTATTCTGGTTCTGGAAATGGTTACTTATGTTATTAGGTTTATTTGTCTTGTCAAGGCTTGAGATTTCAATGTCATTTTTTTCTTTCAGTTGGCGAAGAAAGGAAGCCTTCACAGACAGTGTACAATACATCAGTAAGGGATAGTTAGATAGTTTTGTTTCCTCATGGTCGTCAGATTATATTCGACTAATTAACTATGAATGTAATCCTTGTTATTCAAGTTTATGGTAATGCACTTTTCTCCCGTATGACTCCAAATATCTTTTTTCAGTGCTGGTCGGATTCTATATTGTTTATTAAAAAAGGATTTTGACTATTATCTTGTTGCTGAATTTGAAAACTTAGCTTTAACTGTTTATCTCCAGCAAGTCGCTCCCAACGGCTCACGGTCGGAACCATTGCGCCGGTGAGCTGCTGGCAGCAGCCAGGCACATTCCTTTACGACGACTTCGACACCAAATTACTTTTCACCAATTGCCGAAAACAGCTCTCTTTTATTGGGATTTCATGTATTAGATGAAGAACTTTCAAAACAGGATCACTTGTTTTGATTTAATGACCAATTTAGTGACGTTTTCGTCATTTTTAGATTTAGTATAAAAAAAGGGCCCTGGCATGGTGGGTTTGCCCCTCTCAGAGATAAAGAGTTAATTATTATATTACTTTATGTTGTTACAGTGTCAGTAAGTTTCAAGTATTAATGAGATAAGTTGTAAAATTACGATCATGTTTGTATTTATCCTTAAATGTGTCGAACCTCTCCTCCTTCAGGGCACAATCTACCCATTTTTGTCAGGACATGGGCGAACTGGTTTGAGCTGGCTCATAGGGGAGGTGATGAAGCTTCTCCAATTGTCTGAGGTACATTTAGAACTTGTTCACATTGATTCAATGATCACTCCACCAGATTTTTCTCTGAGTCTCAAGTTTTGTTAACTTTACTGGATGTACGAGATACTATTATAATATTCTTTCCAGATTTTCTCATGGCTGACCACTATGTTTCAAGAGGTTCGTTGTTTTAGTAGAGGTTTTATGGCGCTCGCAACTGCATAAGGTCATATGAGCGCCAGAGATTAGAGGTGTTACAAGAGAATAACAAACATAAAAAAGAGGAGGGGAGATAAAGAAGATAGATGTTTGATAGGAAAGAAGAAGCAGACCACACCAGAGCACCCGCCAAGCACCCACTTTTGAGAGCCTCTTGATGTTATTCCATGTCTTCCCACTATACTGTACATCGATTTCTGTGATTCTTCTCCAGGTTCCACGAGGTCTTCCCCTTGATCTCTTGCTTTGTGGGTTCCAATCCAAAACTTTCTTTGTTATGCAGCTGGCTGACTTCCTGAGAGTATGTCCAATCCATCGCCACCGCCTTCTTCCTATCTCATCTCTGACTGGGATCTGTCTTGTTTTCATTAACACTTCCACATTGGTGACCCTGTCTGTCCATCTGATCCTCAGTAGCTTTCTTAGACACCTGTTCAAGAAAACCTGGATCCTCTTTATGCAAGTCTATGATGCGTTCCATGTCTCACATCCATACAACAGGACCGACTTCATGTTTGAATTGAAAATCCTCAGCTTTGTTCGAAGTGAGATATCTCTGGTCTTCCAAATCCTATCCATAGATATGAAAGCAGCCTGTGCTTTTCCAATGCGGGACTTTATTTCAGCACCTGTTCCTCCCTCTCTGTCAATTATACTCCCAAGATAGCAGAAGGATTCAACGTTTTCTAGTGCCTTTCCTTCTATTGTGACCTGCTCCTTTCGTTGTGCATCTGTCCTTCGGACATTTGACTTTCCAGGGTGGATCCTCAATCCAACAGACTCTGATAGGCTGTTTAATACTGAAGTCTTTACTTGCATCTGTTCCTGGGTGTCCAACTGTGTCCATGGTGTCCACTGTATACCATTTCTGTGTCCTCTGGTGGTATCCTTCATGCCAATATGAAGAGGAACGGTGATAGTAAGCATCCCTGTCTCACCCCAGTCTTGATGTCAAAGCTGTCAGTGAAAAAAAAATGGTGAAATCGTATAGGTTTAACGCCCCTATCAACACTACTAGGCTATTTAAGGGGCGGGTTGTCAGTGAGCTGGCCATCATGTACAACCCTACAACTTGTCCCTTCGTACATGCTCTTGATGAGGTTCACCAACTTCTGTGGGATTCCGTGGTGTCTCATTATCTTCCATAGTGTCGCTCGGTCTATACTGTCAAAGGCCTTCTCACAGTCAAGGAAGTTGACGATCAGCTGGGAGTTCCACTCCAGGGACTGTTCCACAATAATCCTCAGCGTGGCAATCTGGTCGGTGGTTGAGCGATTTTTCTGGAAACCAGCCTGTTCATCCCGTAGTCTTGGATCCGTTCCTGTCTTGATTCTCTCCAGAATGATTCTGTTGAACACCTTACCTGGTATTGAGAGAAGAGTGATCCCTCTGTAGTTGCTGCAGTTGCTGAGATCCCCCTTTTTTGGAAGCTTCATGAGGTGTCCTTCTTTCCAATCCTTTGGGAACTTACTCTCATTCCAGATCCTAGTAAACAGTGGGAGGAGGATGTCTGCCGTCACACTGGCATCTGCTTTTAGGGCTTCAGGTGGAATCTGGTCGGGACCGGCCGCTTTACCTTTGTTCAGCTTCTTAATGGCATCCTGAATCTCTTGTTTTGAAGGAGCATCACAGCAGATAGGTAACTCATTTCTTGCTGGCAGTATGTTTGGTGGGTTACTCGGTGGTTGTCTGTTCAGGAGACTGTTGAAATGCTTTACCCATCGTTTAGACTGAGCTTTCTTTCCAAAAATGCTTTTCCCCTTTTGGTCCTTTACAGGTAATTCAGGTTTCCCATATTTTCCAGTAAGTGTCCTTGTGGTCTGGTAAAGAATTCGCATGTGCCCTCCTACCGCTGCTTCCTCTGCCTTCTCAGCCGGCCTGTTCATGAATTCCTCCTTGTCTTTTCTTATTGATTTCTTGACATCTTTAGCTGTTGTCCTGTACTGCTTCAATGCATCTGCTCTTGATCCTCTTGTTCTACTTGCATTCGCTTCTGCCTTCAGCTGTCTTCTTGTCCTAATTAAATCCAATGAATGTTGGCTAATCCATTCCTTTTGCTCCCATTTCTTCACACCGAGTACTTCTTGACATGTTGATGTAAACACTTCTTTGACCTTGGTCCAGTGTGTATCCACCTCCGTGTCCTCTTTGCCAAGATCAGCCAGAGGTTGAAATCTGTTCCTCAGCTGCAGCTGAAACTCTTCTTTCTTGTATCCGTCCAAGAGACTTACTTGGAACTTTGTTCTTTTGATTCCTGTTCTGGTTCCGTGCTTTTTGAGTCAAAGCTTGAGTTTTGCTGACAGCAGATGATGATCCGATCCAACAGCTGCCCCTCTCTGTACTTTGACATCTTCTAGTGAACACCTGAACTTACGAGAGATACAAAAATGATCTATCTGGTTCTCCGTCACTCCATCTGGTGAAACCCATGTGGCCTTGTGGATCCTCTTGTGGGGAAAAACAGAGCCTTCAATAACAAAACTGTTGAAAGCACATATATTTGCGAATCGCTCACTGTTCTCATTCATTTGTCCCAAGCAATGTTGAACCATAATTCTTTCATACCCCACGTTGTCCTGACCAATCTTGGCATTGGCATTTCCCATTATGATGTTGACATCCTTCCTTGGTAGTTTGTGGATGACCCCCTGGAGCTGGCTGTAAAATGCATCCTTGTCTTCATCCGAAGCATCATTTGTTGGGGCGTAGATTTGGACTATATTCATGTTGATGCTCTTGCTCCTTGTAGTGAATGAAGCCATTATGATCCTTTCCCCATGTGGTTCCCATCCTCTAAGTGACTTCTGTGCATACTTACTCAAAATGATTCCCACTCCTTCCGCATGGTACTTGTCTTCCCTCCCAGAATACAATACTTGTTCCCCCGAGCTGAGCTGCTTCTGTCCAGACTGTATCCAGTGTGTTTCGCTGACTCCTAGTATGTGCAGCCTGTATCTCTTCATCTGTTGTAGCCTACTATTTGAGAACTCTTTCCTGCTTCATACAAGGTGCGAACATTCCACGACACAATCCAAAGAGACTTGTGTGACAGAGAAGGTTTCGGGTCAGGAGAGTCTTTTCGGCTTTGACCGTTGTCCTTCATTGTTCCTGCTGATGCAGAAGCTCCTCCGTCTCCCAAGATCGAAAAATAAAAAGCTGTGTTTGTCCGTGTTTCTGTAACTTACTGTTTTTTACTGGGTTGGGTAGTTGGTTCTCCGCAAACTGGCACTTTTCAGGCGACCAGACCTATGCACTTTTAGTCGCCTCTTACGACACGCAGTATCACGGCAGGTGTATTCTTTGTCTTTATAACAGACTTCTCGTTATTTCAGGACTCGTTATTAGTGGACTCCACTGTATTCACAATGAGGCCAAAAGATTTTGTCTATGCTGCTGCCTCAAAGAAACCCATCATTGAAAGAGGAGTTTCAGAAAAGATTTGAAATTTTCTTCATTTTTTTCCCATGGGATGATATAATATATATATGTATATCTGGTACTGGGTTGAACAGGGGGCATTCTCTGCTATGTTAGCAGACAGAGGCTTATTAACAGTAACAACAATGTTGGCAATTAGGCCTACTTCAGTTATACTGAAAGAGGATAACATTCTTTAAAAAAAATTCAAAATGAAAATCATTACAATTCTGCACTAAGTGAATGAACATTATAATTTAATTAATGTGAAGATGCAAAGAATCATGCTATCCTATTATAGGCACCTCAGTAGTGTTAGTGCTGATCTGCTGCATATTTCATTTCTGTAAATGATTGCTAGAATGATAAGATGACCTTTTTTCTTCTTTTCCCACTGTAATTTTTGTCTATTGTAGTTTTCTCTTAATACTCCTATCAGTATTTTGATGTGCTTCTCTGCAGTCAGACAAAACCACAAATCCATAGTATTATTCAGAACTATGTTTTTCACTTTATTTCCTAGGCGGATTCTAACATTGTTTCAGTTGTATCATGCATCACTTAAGGTTTGTTGCATTGCTTTTTTCAGGCAAAGAAAATAATGTCCTTTCTGGTGTTTTGTAGCCTGTCTACTGTGACTCTGCTATATTGGTGTCATAGCACTAACAGTATGGGTGAGTTGATTGTTTTTGGTCACATCCAAAAGATTAAGGTATTGAGTTATTACCTCTTGAAAGTGATTGAACAGAAGTCCTGAAAAGCTTGCTCACTTTTTTTGTTGGAATAACTAGAATTAAGAAAATGTTTTTAAAAGGAAAAAGGGGCATGAGGGTAAGTTGTGAGGGTGACAAAAAGGAAGGTTTTTGGGTGTTAGGTAAAGAGAGAGAAAACAGAAAACTTTCCTGACAAATTGTGATTTCTATTTTTAAAATGAGATTGAGGGCATCAGAAATAGTGCAGTTGTTAGTAATCAATTGAGTGACTACCTTTTATAGCTAAAACTTAAGTATCTAAGTATGTGCAATACACTGTCAGTATGATTTGAGAATTTTGAGATGACTAAATTTTTCTTTTCTTATTTTAATCATCCTCAGCTTTGACGGCTTTTTCCTTCGTCATGATATTTGACATTCTCAGGTAATATTCTTTTCATTAGGGTCGGTGTATTACATCTTGACTTAACAAAATGACTCCACCTTAAGTGTTTGATAATAATGTTTTTTTTTTTAAACTTGAAATTTTTTAGCTTATCAGTTTTCTTAGACATTACGAATTCTGCATAGAAGGGACATCCGGGTCAGCTGTAAGGTGTTGGACTTTCAATTTTGAAAAGTTAGGAGTTCAATTCTTAGCTCTTTTTTGGGGAAAAAATATGCTCTTCGGACAGGTATTCTACGCTTTTTACCTGAGTTCCCCCATCTACAAATGATTCCTTAGCATTAGGCAAATGTGAATAAAAAATGTGTGTGCCTAGAGACTGCAACACTGTACGTCCTCTTGGGGAATGAAATGGTAATTTGGAATGGAAAGGCTGGTTTAGGGTAGTATTGTAAAATAGCTTGAGCCTCTCGGAGGATGCACTTTATTCTTCTTTTTTATTTAAACTTTAGTTTCATTGTTAAATTGATCAAGATTTCCATATTTATTGTAAAAGTTCTTTAACTTTTGCATTACGTTTATTATTATTTTGAGTATTTATTTTTAGTACATCTGAATCATGAGTGCCCTTTGAAAGTCTGAGAGCCAACTGAAATTTAGCTTCCTTGAACACTGCATTCCCAAGGCCTCTCTGTTTCTAACAGATTTCATGTATGTGATTGTTTAGTTGTGGGAAGTTTTGACTCGTGTCTATACAAACAGGGGGACATAAAATATAATTACCACATGGTGGACTTGTTCATTCAAAGATGCTGATGCAGTGTATAAAACTAGCTGGATGTGCAGTATCACAAAGGCTGGAGAGGCTCACAATATTGCTGGGAAGTTTATTGGCCACAGTGTTGTCTTCTGCCAACTTTGTAGGTTTTCTATAGCACTGCAGAAGCAATTGTTTACCTGATAAGATGGTATGAGAAAACGTTTTCTAGTTTTACTCGCTGAATTTGTGCCTATAACATTTTTTTCTTGACAGTTTGTTGACATGTTTGCTGACTGTGTGGGTGCAAGCACAACAGCCCACAAGTGCTTTTTCTTTTGGGTAAGTTCATTCTGAGTCACTGAGCTCCTCACTGTCTATGTTGCTCCAGTCATGATCCCCACCACGAATCAGGTGAATAAAAAGTGTTGTGTATAAATGTTGAAATTAGCTCCTTGTAGAGAGTGAGTCTGAGAAATTTAACGAGTTTTAAAAGTCTGATGAAAACAGTTTTTATGTGAATATTCTGTAGTTTCTAGAAGGTAGCTAAAACATGGCCTCGAAGGCATTCACGGCCTTCTGAGCACGGGGTATCGGTGAAATCGGGGTAATTCAGATCGCTGTTTCTTTGTGCTGTACACCTTGTAAAGTTCAGCTTTTCCTCGTTACAATTGTGTAAGCTGTGTATATGTCCGATTATTAGGAGCTGGAGAATCGGCGTGGAAAGCGAAGCCCCTCACGGTCGGAAGCGTTGTTTGCCAGTTAAAAAATTGACACGTGTGCATTCAAATGCTTCGCGGAAAGATTGATGATTAAATTCCGTCTGTGGAGAACTGTAGAGCTCTGGACGCGCTTTTCCGTGGTATATTTTTGGCCTTTGGCTTTTTAATAGAAAGCCTTTAAGATACCGTCAAGGTTTTCAAAGATCATTTTACACGAAATATGTAAAATACCGGCTTAAAAAAGGTACCAATAGAAATATCAGTTCATTATCTATTAGAATAAAGTAATCGGCTTGGAATTATTTTTCATCCATCCTTCTGCGAAACTCTGAAAGCATGTGACCCTCCCACACGGGGAGCACTCGGTACGCTGCAGAATAGAGCCACATCACTCGCCGCGGGGGGTCGGTGCGGTGCCGGCCGGGTCAGCGCTCAGCGTTTTTGTAGAAATAACGACAGATCATCGTGTTTGAGGCGATAAAACACTGATTTGTAATGATCTTACTGTCTTGAAAAAAATTAGGCTCCATACCTATGTTATAGTGATTGTACTCTGTTAATGTGGAGATGTTTGGTGTACTTGGTACTCTTTTATAATCTGTCAAACATGGGGTTGCAGCCAGTGAGCAACTTTAACAAATTTGATCCAATTCGTCGTCTATCACACCAAAGGGCGTATCCCTGTTTTTTTACTTTTTCAGGAGAACGATTTAAAGATTTTCAGACTTAGGTTGCTTTATCCTTTTCCCTTGTCATTATAGGAATTTGCATCCTACCATCGCAATATTTGGATATTGTGTGCATGATAAGATATCAAACAATCAGCAAGATTAGTTTTGCACTTTTTTTTTATATTTCACTGCGAAAATGTGCCATCTGTGAGCATACGCCCTTTCGTGTGATTGTTCGACGTTTCGTCCTGTCCTAAATCAGTGTATACGCCCATGTATACGCCCTGTGTTTGAGAGTTCACACAAGTAATTTCAGTCTTCAGACTGACCAGTAGATGATAAAATTCCTCCTCACTCCCCCATCCACCCGCCAAATCTTCCCCTTTCTCTTTTCCTTCCCATACCTCTCTGTTCGTCCGTCTGTCTGTCTGTCTGTCTGTCAGTCCGTCTGTCAGTCCGTCTGTATCTTTCTCTCTCTCTCACACACACACACACACACACATATACACACGCACGCACGCACGCACACACACACACACACACACACATACTCTCAGGTACAGGCATCACGTTTTAGAAAGACAAGCAGTTTCCTTTCGTTCCAATTCCAAATCTATTATTTAAAAAACAAAAACAAATTAGTGATGGATGCCACCATGCTTTGGTAGGCTCTCCTTGATCAAACATGTTTGTATTTCTCAGCTTGAATTTTGTGAGACATCTCATTCGCTGTGTGGTAGTTGACAGAAGAAAGCTTTGTGCTTGGCATTCCGGATGACGGGTGTGTTCCCAGAGCACAGAGACATCAAATCGCCGTATTTCTCCTTGCTAATTTGGTTTGGTTCTTCATTTAGTTGTTTAACTTCACAATGAATTAGGTGTGAAAGTTGGCGCTTCAGCGAAATGGACCTGTACTGCTCTTCCAGGTGACTGTTTTTTTAAAAATATTGTTGTTGGGTGGGCTTTGTTCACCCTCACTTCCATGACCTTGTTCCAGTTCACGGTGAACACCTGAATCCTCATTGTCCTTGCGGACGTTGAGAACTTTCAGATCTTCTGACAGTTTTTTGTAGTTTAGAAAGTCACCGTGCTCAAGCGGGTGTACCTTGTATGGCTGTTTGCGTCGGGCCAATGCAATGATGGGAAACAGCTGTGATGGGAGAAACACATCCCCAGCATTTCCCAAGGCCGTGCTTATAGCACTGTGTGCTGAGTCACCTTCGCACTGCCCATGGAACGATTCAAAGTACCTGAGTGACAGTTCCTCCATGTGTGCTGACGTGTTGATCATGTGGAGCATCATGGTGGGCATGATTGTGTTTTTATTTTGTCCCGGGCAGCCATCGGCGAACAAGTAGGCAGTCTTGATGCCTCTTTGGTCATATTCCCTCAGTGCCCTGCACACCACAGTTGATATCTCTGAGCTGCCCCTTCTGCTTTGGCCTTCGTGCCAAATGAAGCAATCACATGTGTGGTCACCCAAATTATAAAACGTCAAATTGAAATTGGAAAGTCTCCTCTTGTAGAACAAAGCATCTTCATGTGAAATTGGCAAGTATATGACCTGTTGGAGATCAAAGTTCCCTGCCAGAATGCTGTGGTCAGCTTGAGCCATCTTCTTGCAATCCTCCTTAAGTTGTCGCACCTTTTGTTTTTCTGCTTCGTGCCTGTTGTAAATTTCCCTGAGTTCATTTTTCTGAGCTTCGTCCTTTTTCGGAAAGAGTTGCAGAGTGAGCATTGGTCCTTTTTAGGACTATGAAAGGCCAGGCTTTTCGTCTTGAACACTCGTCTGTATGTATGAAAACTTGGGATGTCATTGCATGAGTTTTCTTTCACGTACATGTCGTACATTTTGGACAATGTGAGGTCTGGGCTGAGATACTCTTTGCTGGAAGAGGCCCTACAGTAGTGTGATTCCACGCGTGAAAATCTGTCAATGTGTCGACTGATTTTATCCCTGTTTTGTTCTTCTCTTGTCTTCATCTGCTCCGATTGTCTGCCCCCTCGCTTGTCTTCGTCCACAACGCCAGTCTCCGTAATCTTTGATAAAACAACTCGAACAAATTTCTCTGAAATACTCAAGGTTGCAAGGAATGTGTTTCTACACACTTTCAAGCACTTTCCATTGACTGTGAGGTAATAAGCATGCGTTTTGCTGCGTCGAGAGTTTGGTTTCCCGACCTTGGGCTCAGTCGTCTCAATATGCCTCGCAACGAACTCTCTCTCCTTCTGCAGGTCAGCCAGTTTATAAAAGTCCTGAAATATCTCCCTCCTATCCGTTTCTGTGATTCCAGAACACTGACGGCCAGCTCTCGTACATTCCATTCCAACGCAGCCCTTTCTCATCATTCGTGCTTGAACAACCTTTTTCGTGCCGGCGCTCACGTACTCTTCGCCAGACTGTCGCTTTCTTTTTGCATCGTTCTTCTTGTTGATTCTCTTCCGTGTCTTTGGTGACACTTGGCGGGCTGATCCTTCAACTTCAAATAATTCTGGTAGCCGTTAGTTGCTACTCTGGGTCTCATCGGTCTCAAAATCATTGTGCGTTATGGATTCAGTGTTTGTTGATTCTGGCGCTACTGACAAGGCTCACTTTGTAGACATGTCTTCAGATCAATATAACAAAGGCAAAGTCCTGATGCTTTTATCACTTCAGTCAGTAGCGCTGCCGGGGGTGGGGGAGGGGGGTGTCTAGATAGCGTAGCCTTCTAGTTAATGAGTGTAGCATAATACGCTAAAGGAAGAACATATAGCTTAGCAATATTCATGTGAATCGTCGGACAAAAAGTAGATCTTATTTAAATTTGATCAAACCCAAATTTGCTTTTTCGAATGGTTTCCAAGTTTGAAAGACAGGTTGTATGTGACAACAAGCCGCAAGCACCAGTAAGCAACTGGAACAACACAATAAGGCGGGTCTTGTTTTCACTCTTGCACAAGCAGGATTCGCTGCAACACAGTGCATGCGCTGTGTACAGGCCTATTGTATCATTAGAGGAGGGCCAGTATTACTATATTACGTCATACGGACTTGGCCTATGCCAGAAAAAAAAGACAAAAGTGTAACGGTCGTTCACACGAAGGGGCGTAACCAAGGTATACGTCCTTTCGTGCGAATAGATTTGATACAATTTTGTATCAATTTTTTGCACACGAAAGGGCGCAAGCCTGCGTACGCCATTTCGTCTGATTCGGTCGCGTTGAGTGTTAGTGTACGGCCTTTTCGTTTTTTTTACTGCTAGTACTGTTATTTTAAAGCTAGGTATACGCCGTTTCGTGTGAACATAGATCTGAGGCAGCGCTATCTACTAGTAGTAACAACTCAAAACTGCCAAAATCTGGAATACGCCCTTTCGTGTGACAGGCGACGAATTTTAGACAGCTACCATGTTCTAAAAAATTGTCTGAGAGGTTAAAGAATGATTCCGAAATTCCCAGGAGATATATAGGCCTTTCATATGGAACAGATAAATTTGGTAAACGGCTACTTTGAAAATTCAGTTTCTGGTAGGCCTACCTATTTCTAGAGTCTGCCTATGTTCTCTTCTCTTTAAATTTTAATGATAATTTATCACCTTATTTTGATATTCATTACTTTAAATGTAAATTTATGGCTTTCATTTCCAAGATACTTGTGTGTCCACAGATATGAACGATTTGAAGTCCTCGCTGTATTTGCATGCACAATGCTGGCCCTGTTAGGAGCATTTTTCATCATGAAGGAAAGGTAATTAAATTTTTTAAAGTATCATTTTTTAAATTGTATGTTGACTATTTTATGGAGTTTATTGAGTAGCATAGGCTGACAAAAGGCTCACAGCCTCATAGTGGCTTTAGTGTCATATCTCTCACTACTGAGTGTGTAAAAATTACCTTGAATTTACAGCACATCTGGTACTGCTGTCTCCTTGATTTAATCACATTTTGTCACTACAGGAGCCTTTTATGGATGTTGAAGCTTTTGCACCAGAGACATGATAAAAAATGCACAAAATACAGATGGAGATTTGAGTGATGTGAACATATGAGTACATACAAAAATTGATTTTTTGATGTAGGAATTATTGATTTTTAGAATATCAATTGTACGCTTACATGGAAAATTAGGAGATTGACCGAGGACCTCGAAGTTTTTTTTATGGAATAGCTAAGATGTTTTATCTTTTTCATTGCACAATCTGTTGTTTATCCTTCTTGCACAATATCCAATGTCTTTATGAAAGGAGCAATGATAGGGCAAAAAGGAACAAACTAGAAAAGATGTCTTTTGTATTGATGTTATGTTGTTGTTTGTGCAACATTACCAGGAAGATTGTATTGTTTTTTTCCTTTCAGTGTTGAATCGTTGCTTTTCCCGCCTGAAGTTCATACGTAAGTATTTGTTATCTGGAACGTTGGAGAAAGTGAGAGAATGTATATACCAGCGTTTTTACATGAATACTTTGTTGTAGGATGCAAAATGTCTGTATTTGTTTAAAACTTCTGTTGTCAGAGTGGGTCGTTGGCGGGTACTCTGGAGTGGTTTGCTTCTTCTTTCCTATCAAACATCTATCGTCCTTATCTCCCGTCCTTCTTTTTTATGTTTTGTTACTCTCTTGTAACACTTCTAATCTTCTGGCGCTCATATGACCTTTTGCTGTTGCGAGCGCAGTAAAACCTCTACAAACTACCAAAACCCCCCCCCAAAAAACAAGACAATATTGTGTTTGTAAAAGTCTACTTTTGAATACCTTTGACTGATGCAATCTGGGAATGAACAGTGGAAAGGTGGGAAGGGGTGGGTTTAAAAAAAAAATTACAGTCAAACTTGCCCTGATGGCCACCTGTCCAAGACAACTACCTGTACAAATGCTCACTTCCTACTTGCTCCGTTGCATTTTTCTCCTATATAATGACACTGCCTTAGATGGCAACCTGTCCAATGTGGTTGCAACCACTATGTTTTATCTACCAACAGCTCCAAAATCCTGTCCAAAATGACCATGCAGATCTCTCTTGGCCTGACATGAGACACGCACTGATATAGATACACACTGACACGTGTGGGGGTGTTAGATTTTAGTATAGGGAACATTTTTGTTGAGTACTGGGTAACTTTGTCTTTCTGCTGGAACGATGTATCCCTCTCAGCATGAGTTGGCCTTGACAGGCAATGTTGAAGCAGCCCGCCTCTTAAATGATCTAAATAAGGTCAATGGGGATGTAAAGCTTCTACAGTTACAACTATGTAATTTTAGCAACATCGTGCTCATTGTGTCATTGAGGATGGCGATGCATAACATGTTATGAACTTTTAGTCGCTTTACCATTGAACTTCATTTAACCCTTGAAACCCTATAGCGCTGGTACCCGCCGACGCTATATTTTCCTACACCGCTGGTAACCGTTCTTCAACTTTATTGTTTAATTCCCAGCGCTAGAAACAGGGGATGTAACTCCAGATCACTCTGTTACTAGCAAAGAGTACCGATAATGTCATGAAAGCAGTTCTACACTGAAAGTTTGGAAATTTAGCAAGTTAAAAAAAAAAATAGTGACTTTTCGCTGCCAGGTCCTTCAGGCCGCAAAATTTTTGACATTTTTGATCCTGAACCAGACCCCAATGATGATCTCCCAGTCGGATATATAGATAAATATGACCGTTGAAGACGATTGCATTGTTTTGCATAACATAGATGATGATTTTGACAATAGTGGAAGTGGCAGGGAATCACCACTAGATCTACAGCTGGGTCTAATGACGCTTTGACTGAAGTAAAGTCAGGGATCACACACAAGACTTTACTCATATAGTTGGTCCTAAAAACCAGTGTTTTAATCTTTTCCCTTTTTGTCCAGACTGTGCATTCGTATATAAATAACATTACAAACTTCAGTAAAATCTAACAACAATTAAAGACACAGTAGATAAAACAATGAACCAACCTAATTTTTTCTAGTATCTCGATTTTAATTCAGGATTCTAGGGAGGTATGAAAAAAAAAAAGAATTCAGGGTTTTAAGGGTTAAACTTTAAAAAAAACTGATGTTTACTTGTAAGGCAGGCGAGAATTCGCAATGAATGTATAATATATGTGAAGTAAAATTAACATTTTTTATTTGAGAAAAAACAAAGAAAGAATCATTGTGTAAAAACCTTTTGGTAGACTGATTTTCTTGTGTCTCTTTTGAAAAAACCACCCTGTGCACAGAGGACGCTTGTTGGTAGGCACCTGCTTTGGCTTGTTGGTTCACCTGTCTGTCGTGTACACAATGAGGAACAGAGCGTTCAACCATGTGATTGATGCTTCCAGTTCTAGCTGGCTGCAGGAACATGTGTCCGACATGAGTGAAAGGTAAGCAGTTTTAGAAACATGTCTGTGTTTGAGGACTGTCCTCTGCTCTCAGTCGGTAAATATTTATCTACAGTGGGGTGTACTTAACTGAAATCTGAAGGACTGCTGAATTTTCTTTGATTAAGAAAGGTTGCTCAAGAAGGAGGAAAAGAACAGGAAGGAAAAGAAAAGGGATTTTATTTTCTTTTGGTTCACCTCTGTTTTCGGATTAACCTTGTTCAGTTTAAGCAGATGTTACTATATAGCCTACCAGTGTTTATAATGTGCTTTTATCACAACTTGTGCTCAGTGAGTGGTATTAATCTTGTATATGTTTTTCTTTTTCTGCTGTATTTTTATCTTTGATGGCAATTCTGTTGCAATATTTTGTTGTCGATTACATTTAAAATACTCTGTTGCCTTTGTCACCTTGTCGTAGTGTTAATTGTGTTTTGTTAAAATGGGCCGAGTCTGAAATAAAAAGAAATATTTTTCAATGTCTAGCAACACAATATAATACCGTACATTTTGGGTAAATGTGTACTTTCATGTTAAAGCACAAGCAATGTGTGTAAAAAGATTTCTAATTTTTATTGTAAGTAAAGAGACAGAAAAAGATGGGGGCAGGGAGGGTAGGGTGTCTGTCTCGAGCTAAATAAGCAAGTACAGAGTTGAACATTCTGTGACCAACGCCACTGATGTTCAGCTGATGTTGCCAAATTGTGCAAGCACCTTTCCACATGGTTCATGTTAATGTGATACTTATCATAACATTGCAATGGTAGTGATGATGTGGTGCTCAGCAAATATTGCCAAATTTCTAGATGTAAATATTATATCCGTTTCTGTTTTTAAATTAATAAGATGAATATTTGGAGGGATTTTCTTTTAGTCAGAACACAACGTTTTATGTTACTGTTACTGTAAAGCGCTCAGAGCCTGTGTACTTAAATCGGGGTTGAGTGCTATATATGTTATTTATTATTATTATTATTATTATTTTCCCATCTCACTTTTCAGCCTTTGCTCTGTTGTGCCTGGTTTGAGCAAGTTGCTGTTGCCAAGGATTAACCCATTTGCTCTCATTGGGTTTGCCTGCAGCCTGGCTTTGATGATCACTTATTTTCTTATTGATACTCAGTAAGTAGGAAATGCCAGCCTTTTTTTCTTTTCCTCTGTTTTCTGTGATACCTATTCGAATATGAAGAAGTAATATAACATATTAGGATAAATACAAACAATAATACCCTGGCATTGGAATTACAGGAAAAATTATTTTTATTTTGTTGGCTGTAAACATTTTAGCTTAATAAATTTGAATTTAAAAAATTTCTCCAAGTTGAATTTTTTTTTCGGGTCTGAAAGCAATATAATAAATGTGCATAGTGTATAGATCTATTGAAATGTCTTCTTTCATTAAAGCTAAAACCTGCTTCTGGACATATGAAAATAAGTCCACAACACAAGGGGATATTTGACACCTTTGTTTTAGTCTTAGGGCCTATACTATATGAATAAGCAGTTGTTCACATATAATCAGGATTTAAATGATTCAGATTTTGAGATGTTTATAGTATGATTTGTATTGCCATAACTGAGTTGCCTAGTTATATTGAAATCTGGAATTTTTACCTTTTCTTTATTTCATCCAGCCAATACTACGCCGCAGACCCATGGGCCGCCATAGCCATCGCCTTCATGACATTTGGCACAATGTTCCCCATGAGTGCTTACACAGGGAAAATCTTACTGCAGGTAGGAATGAATGAATGCTTGAACTGTCATCTCTTATTTTTTTGTCTAATAGATTTGTCTCCATCTTGCTAGAGATTCTCTGCTATTCTCATTGCATTTGGTGTTTACAATTAATCATTGCATCTCATTCTATAAATCAATCTTTGTCCTAGCATCTGCATTTGTCGCGGCTGCTTTTTGGGTCATTTTTTGGTCCACGAATCGTGGCCGTGATTTTTGCAGTTTTCAAAAACGACAAAAAAAAAGCTACTTCATAATATATTAGAAATGTTTTTTGATAAGTTTTAAGATGTCCCTGTGTATCTATTTTCATGCGGAGAATACAAGTACGTTTACATACTATTTATATTGCTGTTCATCTTTTATTTTCTCTTCTTTGTTGTGTTTTAATTTGTTGGTGTGTTAATTTTTAAAAAAATTGTTCTGATGATTTGTTGTTTTTTTGGTGTTTATACAGCGTAATGTCATTTAATTTAATGCTGTTCCTACCCTTTAAAAATTTTAATGTGTTATGTTAGAGCGTGTCTCCACCAAAGCCGAATACTGACACTGGCACGCCGGAATTTTGTGTGATTCCATAATTTACTTGCAATTTCCTGTAGGCCTACTTTTTCTTGAATTACACATGGTTAGGGTTAAAACAGCCTATCTTCGGATAGGTGGACACATGCCCTTATTTGTTAATTTTTGTGATTATTTATCCATGCTGTTCTAATTTTGGTTTCATTCTATTGTGAAATCTTTATTTTTCACGTTTTTACCGTGAGGGTGACTACAAATGATAGTACAAGAAATTCTGGTGCTTTAGATTGTTACCTCTATCAGCATATTGCTATATATACGTCGTCACAGAGAGTAGAAAGCTTGAAAATTAATGGCAACTTTTTTGGCAACTTTTGCCACTTTTTGTGGCAACTTTTGGACAAAAAAACTGCAACAAACGCAGATGCTAGTTTGTCTCACTTTTTCTGTCTCTACAACTTCCACTGTAACAGTTTGAAAATAGATGGAGTGTGTTCTAAATATGTCATCCTTCTTTTCTTCTTTTGTCTTTACACCTATATTCCTCTTGAAGGTGCATGTGTACTGTTTGTAAAGGGGGAGAGGGGATGTTGGTGTAATTATATGTAACCAAAATGTTTGAGAGCTAGTCTCTGTTTCAAAAAAGAGAACAGTAGTATTAAAATGTAATTCTGGCTTTAACTTGCACCTGATATTAGTTTCCATGTGTTTTCTCGCATTCTTTTAGACAACGCCATCACATATTTTGGGTCAGCTAGATAAAGTGCTCAGAGAAGCATCGACATTGGATGGAGTACTGGAATTTAGGCATGAGCATTTCTGGACCCTTTCATTTGGAAGTCTGGTGAGTAGAAGTTTCTTGCGAAATGTACTTTTTATGAAAAGTTTGTCATTTCATATTCGTTATATTTAAAAAATTCAAGACACGAGGATTTGATCTCTGTGTTCTTTCCCTATCATCATCATCCAGTGCCAGATCTGCGACAGACATCGGCGATCATGATTTTCCATTCATTCCTTTGCTCGGATGCTCTCAGGAAAGCTACGTTTCCCTGATTTTTCCCTGTTACCTATTTGTTTAGGTTCCCTAAGTATGTTGTTCTGGGCCTACCCCTGCCTCGCTTGCCTTCAATTTTGCCAGTGAGAGCTAGATGTTCAAGACCCTTATGTCTATTCAGGTGTCCCAAAAACTGCATTTGTCGTTTCCTGATTGTTTTTAACATTGAGCGTCCCACGTGGGCTTCATCAAGCACTACTTCTTTCCCTATATGCAACTAAAAATACCACTGGGTCCTGGGCAGGGCCTGAGAAGCATCTGCAGAAGTGCAGATGTCCATTCCTTTGTTGTCTAACATTGAATAATGGATTGTTTTCTAAAGTTTCAGCAAAAGAGAGAGTGATTTCACAGATGTGCTTTGTTGGAGTCAATTCACAATTTCATGAGAGAGATCATGAAAATGTTGAGAACATACTTTTTTCTTGATTAAATGATGAGAGTTCTTTCACGGTTAAGCAAGTTTTCTTTTTTTCTTAAGAAAGTTTCAACACTGTGGAGTTTGAGTTGAGAAGTCTCTTGCCCATGCTTTTGTGTTTCAACTCACTGAGATGTCACACTTTTTGTGCCAGTACACTTCTTGACACAAATCTTATCTGCTTTGATGTTAAGAACTTCATGAAAGCTTCTTAAATTTTGGCTCTCAATCTCTTTGACAAGTGCGTTTGAATTTCAGAAGTCAGTTCCTTATATGGCCTTTGGACAACTAGTGTCTTATAAAACCTTATTTCCTCTCCTGTGGTAGACTTTTGTACTGAACAAACTTTTTAAAAATTTGGTCAGCAGCTACCTTCCTTAAATCTCCGATTTGATCCTGGAGGTGAGGTGGGTGGTTATACTGAGATGCTGACTGTTGGGTGTGCATAAAGTTACAAGGTTTCTGCTAAGTAAACGTTCCCACTGCAGCTAAAAAATGTTGCCTCATTCTTCAACAGGCTGGATGTGTACAGGTTCGTGTGCGGCGAGATGCAGATGAACAGCTTGTCCTGGCGCACGTTTACAATCGACTCAACAGTTTGGTCTCACGACTCACCATCCAGATTTTCAAGGACGACTGGTCCAGATCTTCTACTTACACTGCCGGAGCACTGAGTGGACCAACTTTCCCTGGACCCATAGGGTTTCAGGGCCCTCCCAGAGTTGCTTCACCTACTCATTCTCATTCTCATGATGCTCCAACTCCCCCAGTACTGCCTAGTTATAGATTGAATCCTTCGTCTTAGTGTTACTTATTTTCTTCTTGCACTCAGCTGTCCTAAGTTTCTTACTCTTAGAAAAGCATAAATCATATCAGTCAAGCCTTGGGTGAATGATCATATAATTGTTGGTGGTGGAAGTCAGGTAACATACCACTTATTTTGTCTGCATTAAATGAAAGGGAGAGAACAAATGGGATTTAAAATTGAAACTGAAATGGATGAGATTTTATTGGGGTGTGGAAGAGGATAGGTGAAAGAAAAATGGATTCATACAAATTAGTGGAGAGTAAAAAAAAGTATCCTGTTTGTTGAATAAACCCAATGTCAGAGCCTTGTCAGCTTTTACCATCTGTTACAGAAATGTTTGTGTTTTTTTGTGCCATTGGGGAATATGTGTGTCTTAAGTGAAAGAAATTGATTGAAAACATGATATCTAATATTTGAATATCAGTGTTACAAATCTTAAAACACTCTCTTGAAAAATCATCCCTTAAAATTTGTTTGTGTGTACACATTAGTAGTCAAAGTAAACGAGCAGTGCTAGTGATCAGGATTCAATTTCTCTATGTGTCATTCCAGCATGCATGCACAAAAGTGCAGATGCTTCGAGATATCATTTATGGTTTATACCCGTGAAGAGGACCAGGGTCTTAGACACTACCCTTAGTCACAGGTGACAAGGCGCTTTCCTTAGAGTCATTTGTCTGCTCACAGTAAAAAATTACAAAGTCCACATGATTGTTAATTTTACATGTTCATTCACTGTTCGGTTTTGCTGTCACTATGTTTTCCGTTCTTATTAGTGCGTCTCATCCTGTACAGTTCAGAGTATGTTGTAATAAAAATGTATGTGCACAAGCTTAGGGATGATATTGTTCTTTCCATTGTTATGGACATTTTATGACCGTGTCTTTGAATTTCTGGGCTACTATTTTTATTATCAGGATTCACTACATTTTGAGGGGATAGATAGGTCTTATTACTTTTTCCAAAGTATACAAGTTTTATGCCAAGTTGTGAAGCAGAATATTGAAATTTCACAAGCTGTGAGTTGTGTACATGTATTACATATATTATTGCCTGATCTGTGAATTTTGCATGTCAGAGGAACAAGTTTTGACTGAACTATTGTCGTTGATAGAGCACTTCTTTTTCCTCTAGACACGGAAGTTGAGTTGCATTATAAGATGGTCCATTACATTGTCTGCAGTTTTGACTGAAAGAATAGCTTAACAAATGAACTAATGAACACGTTCTTCACCAAATGACCCTGGATTCTTTTGTTTCAGTAAGAGTTTTACTGCACTTGCGACACAATTAAGTCATATTTATATAAGAGGTGTTACAAGAGAGTACCAAACACAAAGAAGAAGCAGAGATTAGGACGACAGATGTTTTATAGGAGACAAGGAGCAAACCACTCAAAAGCACCCACCATCCACTCACAAACTGGATTCTGAGAGTAAGCAGGCTTCAATGTATTCAAATGAAAGTAATTTTGCAACGAGCATTCAAAATCATTCTGAATTTAATCCTGTAAAGTAGCCAAACCTGGTATTTATTGACCAAAGTTGTGTAATGTTAACATATACCAACCAAGATTGCACAGACAAAGACCAAAGTAACATTTTACAAAAGTATCTATATTTAATAATATCCAGGAATGATATACCAAGATTGCACATACAAAGACAAAAGTCACATTTTACAATGTATATATTTTTGATTATAATATCTAAGAATATTGTGAAGCGTCTTCAAAATATCAGATGAAATACCAGTTTAAGTTGTTCACCATTTGGTGTGGCAGCGTCAGGATCAGCATTATTGTCCATGCCAGAGCGGTCAGGGTAAACTAGATAATATTTGCATTAAGTCGTGTTCAGTAGCTCAATAGATATGGTGTTGGCCTGTCAACCTGGAGGTCTGGAGTTCGTTCCACATCAGCATCAGGTTTTTTTCTCATGTTTTCTGCAACTCCTGATTCAAGAGTAGCCAAGCATTTAAAGATCTCTTAGAGGATTTAAAATCCTTTAGGCCCTTAGTGTTGCTCCCGAGGCAGAATTAAAAATTAATTCATCCCTAAAACTCATCAGTCTAGAGTACCTTAAAAATGTCTGGTGGATACCTGTCGGGCAGGGGATGATGTTACGTTTTATTAAGTAGAAAAAAATGTCCATAAAGATCCGACAGTCAGTTGCCCACAGGGCTCTAGCAGGGGTACATAGATGAAAAAGAGGAAGCAACGAATTTCTCAACAGACAATTTGCAAAAGCTTGGTTGAATTCTTTTTCAAAATCATGGTAAAAGTGCAAAATATTGCCTTGCACACAAGAAGAAATCAAAATACGGTAAACAACTGACAGTTTTCTCAGCACCATCAACTTTGCACAATTTATCTTTTCCTCAACCACTATTCAACAGCTCAATGGCTATCTATGCAAGAAAGTCTCCTGCCTCACTACTCACTCTAGCTGGTCAGCAAATCTGAACACAGAACAAATACAGTCCAAACTGTCCAAGACAGCCCACTCATTGTCGAGGAGAAGTCGTCTCATACAGGTGGACATCTTGGACAGTTTTATAACACAGAAAAAAACCTCAAAGGGGGAAGTGGTTGTTTTACAGAGGATCATCTTGCACAGGTGGCCGTTAGAGCAGGCTCGACTGTATAACAGGTTAGTACATGACAGTGAAACTAAAAATGACCATGGTTTGTAAAAAGTAAAAATCTCTGCACCATCAAAAATATAGGCCTACTTGTGTCAGAATTTTCTCGCATACTGCAGACCTCATAATACAAAATTAAAAATTGATGTGTCAAACGAATGAAAACAAATTGGAAAAACCCACAGGCAAAAACATAGAAAAAGGAAGAAAAGCATTGGAATGGGAAAATCAAGCTGCTGTGATTACAGTAAAACAAAACAAAAAAAGACTCCACAAAAAAAAGGGAACAAACAAAAACCTTTTCTATTTAGATTTAAGAAAACAAGGGAAAACAAAATTCAGAGGTAGAAAAAAGAGCTTTTGCCCTCGATGACTTCAATGACTTTGTGACTCTTGTTAAGATTATTTTATGGCATGACTAATGTTCAAATATAATACTGTGGGCCTAAAGCCAGAAATGACCATGTCCATTTTGGTCAAAATGCCCAAAAAAATAGCATAATGGAGGCATTCAAACGATTTTGCATAATGTCTGTTAATATCAACTCAATCTGTCCCGTATTTTGCCACAACAGCAATTCCTGATGTCTATAGTAATTTCCTGTTTCAGAAATTCAGCAGAGCATAACAATTAATAACATTCCACCTTATGCAGCTTTATTTGTTCCCGGTATCTGTGTCTGCGTCTGTGCCAGCACCTGTGGCAACTGTAGAAAACTTTACTCCATGCCTGTCCAATCTGGCAATCAAGTCTGTGTCAATAAAGACACTCCCTGGTGTCAGGACACCACCTCTGAAAAAAAAAAGAATCAGCATATTATTGTCTGATTTTGTGGAAAAAACCCAAAAAAACCAAACTTGATGGGTGACCAAGGTTCTTGAATTTATTTCTGCACATCACTTCTGCAAAGACATAGAAATCTAACATTTTCAGCATACTGTTTGTTTTTTAAAAAACCCAAAAACTTCATGGAGTATCAAGCCTCATTTTCATGCTCATTAATGGGCCTACTTTTGAAAACATAAGTACGAAAAATAAAAAATAAAGTCTGTTCAAGTACAACTCTCCCCCCCCCCCCCCCCCCCCCCCCCCGGGGCTTTATCAATAAAAACCTTTCACCAATAGTTCAACTTTTCTTGAGGCTTAAATTAATTATATTGCTGCTTTCGTGGTGTATTAATATTTCTTGGTTCAAGTTCGAGCTTCATTTCATTTTTTAGACAATTAATATCATCAGCAACTCTGGTCCAGTTTTGAGTCTATTCCTCAAAACTTGCATTCTTCTGACAATAAAGGGAAAAAAACTTTTACAAATATTCATCGTTTCATTTCATAGACATCTGATCCAAACTGAATAACCCCCCCCCCCCCCCTCACCTTTAGTGGAAAAAACAAAATGACTTACTTTTGCCTGATCTTGTCTCGACTTTTTAACAGTGTCACTGCACACTGGATCAAACAGATAGGTGTGGCTCCATAGCCCAAATCTGGGGGTGTGGAAAGTATGCGTGATGCACAAAAATACTGAGACATGAGACAACTTGCAATCTGAACTTAAGTCTTCAGCATACAACTGAGTAGGGCCTATCCACAACACTATGGACATTGTGTAACCAACTGGTGACATATTTAGAGGACTACATTAGTTATCTAGGAGAAGTAATAATCTCTACAAAATAGTCTCACAAGTCCAGCAAAGATGTTACTGGGCCACGAAGGACATGAACGAATAACCAGATCTAAAAAGACAGAGTCCATCAGCTGTGGGCAGAAGCAGAACATCAAGGAGAAATGAACAGCATCAGGGGATAAAGTTACGTACGTACGTAAAGAGGAGCTTTCTATGTTTACGACAGCAAGACCACTAAAAACTAAAACATTATCTAAACCAACAAAATTAAATGATTATCAAACCCTCCCCCCCAAAAAAATCAAACAAAAAACAAAAAACAACCAAAAAAAACCCAAACCCACCAACAAAAATACCAAACAAAATGAAAAAAAAATAATCAATCCTTGCTTTTCTAACAAAAAACCATAATCTTTCTGCTCAACTCACCTGGACCAGAGATTTTGGTCTGAATAATTTTGTCCGGCTTTTTACTCCCACTTCCTTTGGACTCTTCAGAGAAGCCATAGCCAATGAATTCCATCGTGAAAGTTGATTCATTGATCTGGATAGCAAATATTATAGTGAATTCAGTAATTGAATGTTGTGCAATCTTTTTCACATTATTCTGAACTCTTCATCTTTGTTTTTGTCCTTAGTTTGTTGACAGTCAACTCGCCAACTCGTATTTTGACAACTGAGCGCTAAGTGTCCTTTCACTTTCAGGATGTTCCACAGAACCCGCAGAACAATCTTTCAAAACAGAAAACAACATTTTTCAACACAATTTCTATCCCAAGCCACAAAATGGCACCAGTATTTGAGATTCCACTTCCATGGACATTTCAGAATAACATAAAAGGTAGGCCTATTTATTTTGCACAGATCCTGAAACTTGGTTCACAGACCACAAGACATTTTATTCGATTTATTGAAGTTGAACATACCTGCTTTTGTGATGGACCTTCACTTTTGAAGAAGCCAGAGGATAGAGTATCTGGGTACTGAAAAAAGATAAGCACAAATTATACAGTGGAATCCTGTTATAATGAGAGGGAGGGGACCAGTGCGAAATGTCCGTTAAAGCAGGATTCTCATTGTAAGGGATCCAGTAATAAATTCAAGGGAAATAGTAAAGTAGGCCTAATCTATGCGTTTGGTGTTCTGTTTATTCCTTTTTGTATTTCCCCTGATGATGATTTTGTTCAACATGATCTTTAAGCCTGTCTTGATCAAAAATCGAATCAGAGTTTCTTTCTCTAGCACTAGCAATGTTGACAGCTCTGCGTTGGCAATCAGAAAGAAGGGGCTCTGGCTCTTGGCTAACTCGCTCGCTGTGCTGTCCCCCACCCTACCACACCCTGTGGAGCTTTGCGTCTGCTTGCGCATGAGAGTTGGGTCGGGCTTGCAAAATTAGAGTCTGTGAGTAACGAACTACTTGCTGGCACTACCCGCAAACGTGCGGACGGGTAACGAGCCGTCCGCTTTTGAAGATTCGTTTGCTACTCGCTACACATCGGACAGAGACAACAATTCGTTTAGCGAGCGAGCGGACGGGCGGACGGAGAGACTCCATGCATTCAAGTGGGCGGATGGGCGGACGAGGAGCGACTCCTTCCATTGCATATTATTACCCCCCATCCCGGAAAAAAATCACCCTCCTGCCCCACATTGTAGCTACACATTCTCGACCCCCCCCCACCCCTTTTCGATAAGTGGAGGTGAAAGGTGACACTCATGGTACTACGTCACCAGCCTCTCTCACTCCCTGTGGCACCACTAGCGGCTTGAAACATTAGGCCTAATTAACAAACAATAGACGATGGGCCTTACTTCGTGTCGAGTATCTCGTCTGCTAGGGCCAAGAGTTCACCCGTTAGGCCGCCCGCACAGTGAATAAAATGGTGGAGCGGACCCAAAAAATGAACTGGCTTGAGGTCCACAGTCTGCTCGCTGAGAGAGTAAAATTGTGGAGCGGACCGAAAAAACGAACTGTCTTGAGGTTCACAGTCCGTACGTTACCCGCTCCCTCTGACTGGAGTCCGCGGGTAACGAACCCGTCCGTCCGCTCGCTCCAACTCTACTATCAGAGCATTGTGACCTCTCCATCCCACACCTGAGAAGTGAGAGGCATGGTAGTGGTAGGTCTAGATAATCTAGAAAGGGGTGGCCTATCACGCGATGCCTTCTGCTCGTCTGCGCATGCTAAACCCTCCCCACTCATTCGCCCCGGCCTTCATTGTTGGTTCGCGTGTGCTCTCCCATTCTTTGTTTCGCTTGATCACCAACAACTTTCTCAACTGGCGAGGTTCTATATATGTCTAATTAGTCTGTGCGCTGTGCACAGCAGCAGCAATATTCCGTTATAACCGACTGGCGTGACTCTCTGGTTGCGGAATAGTAGTATTTTATTTACAAAGATAAAGAAGGGAAAAAAACGGGGTTTTAAAATAGTGTCTTTATAACAGACTTTTCGTTATTTCAAGACTCATTATAAGTGGAGTCCACTGTGCAATTTGTGCAAGGCCAAAACATGAAGTGACTCATGATTTTCAGTGTGTAAAGGAAAACGTGAAATGACTCCAAAGCTTGGCTCAACAACAAGGATAGTGAAAAAAGTGACAGTTAAGTAGCCAATTTATCAGAGTCCTCCAACCTCTATTGATATTTTATTTCTCTCATGAGTATTGATCAGCATACTAAAAAAACCGAACACAAGTCAGGCAATGACGAAAATGAACTTATACAATTTACAGAAGGTCTTGCATGTGCTGCAGCCTGAAACATTTGACGAAGTACAATCTTGCCCTCGATCCAATTTGACTTAAAACCGCTTGCTTGGACATTTTTCTCCTTGATCAGTTTTAATTAAGCCAAAATTTGATTTTTTTTTGTTTACAGTTCGGAAGCAATATTTTAAAAGATTAAAGTGTGCTACTGATGCACTATCCCAACTCTTTAACTCCCTGTTTTCTCAAATTAGAGTACCAGTATTTCCTATTTTTCAACTAATATAATCTCCTTTTTGATTTAAACATTTCCACAACAGACTCATTTGACACATTCTTTGGATGATGTAGATTAGGAAAATACCTCTCTATAAATTATAAATGGAAAGAATGCAAAAAAAGGAAACACAGTGACTTGTCAAATAGCATGACCTAATGGGTAACTTATATTTAATTCTGGGACCAAAGTTTTATTTTTTAACAAAGGAGTTGTTAAGCTGTGAATTCTGTTAAATGAGCATAATAGTGGACCCAGATCTTATAGTACAAATTAGGGTTATATAAACTGAGTTAAAAAAAGGAGCAGACCACATACATAAGAGTATCGACCAATAGTCTGATTTCGCGAGGAGCAAGCGTACAGATCTTTTGACAGTAACAAAAAATATTCCCACTGACACAAGCAACATCATATACTTTGGACGAGGCTGTTTCAACCCAGTCTGTCAATAGAACCCACATGCTTTGCATGCAACAGCAAAGAGCTACCAATTGCATCTATCACGTTGGTACATATAATCCTTTTAACCCTTTGAGCCCTTGCCACTGGTAGAAGCCCACCTGAGACAAAATGCGTACTGAAAACAGCATTTTTTACACAAGACATACTTGATTATTTTGAAGACTTTCTGAATTAGATGCTGGTAATGACAAGGACTACCCTGAATGGGATAAGGAATGTGATTCTGATGATCATACGAATGTTAGTAATATATCGCTCAGGAGCTCTGGTAGAGCTTGGTAGCTTCAGGAGTTCAGGCCTCAAAAGGGATAAGAAAAGCATGATCACAATATTTGCACGGCAACGAGCACAAAGATGTCCACCAACCTTTGAAAACAGATAACGGCCAATTCTGAAGTAGGAAAAAACGGAAAAAGACGCTGCAAAAGCCACCAGTTTGACCACATTTACGTAGCGTTGGCATCCAATGTAGGTCACGAATTCAATCTGCAGAATAGTTTAGAACAATTGCCCCATATATTACATTTTATTGTTGCAAGCTCATTTCAAAGAGCACTAAAACATAACAGAACACCTAAAATACACAGAGTGTTATAATGGAAATACAACATAATAGAATGACTCAATCCCATGGAGCGTTATGGAAATAAAACAAAATAAAATGTATAAAATGTGAGGCATCGTGATGAAATCAGGCGCTTGTCAAAATGCAGAAAAATCAGAGAAACAGGCATTTTCCCGCCAGTTTGGAAATTTTTATAGAATTTTTATTTTTTAGCTCAGCCTCTATGACCATGTAAAAACATATTTCCAGATGAATTTTATTGAAAAACATTGATTAACCCTATCCGTACTTCGTGTTTTACTAGATCGTATCATACGATGTGGGGAACTCTGAGCACCCACTTTCCAAAGAGGAAATTTACTCGTTAATCCGATCCATACGCTTTACATTGCAGCAGTCTGTCAAAATGATTTTTTGAGAAATACTGAAAGTTTCAAAGAGATCTTCGCACTAGAAGTATTCTAAAATGTGAAGAATACAACCTCTGGGGTACAAAATTACCCCAGGAGTACGGATAGGGTTAAAGGCACAAAATATGTAATTTTTTTGTTTTCAAGGACTCTTTAATTAGCTATTGGATTTACCAAACTTTGGTGGCCATTTTCTCGTTAATTTCACCACTGAAACCAGGCGACCTCATTTCCTTCAATCGTAGATATCTTGAGTTCTATTCAAGATAGATGGATATTTATTTCATTGGAAGCAAGGCAAACAAATTGGCTTTTATATTGATACCAATAACTCCACATGCCCAAAAATTGAAGAGTGCCTGATTCCACCGCGTCGTGACACAAAATACAAATACATAGTGTTATGGAAATAAAACATAACAGAATGTCTAAAATACTTGAAGTGTTTTATGGAAATTCACAGCAACATGATGAAACATAAAACGATTTAGCCTTACTATCTTTGAGATGCTAATGTCAAAAAGCTATGTATATTAGACAGACAGAGTACCAAATGTGTCAATAGATCCAATTTCTTTCAAAAACATAAACCAAAAATGATTGTCTTACTGGTTTTTCCAGCCTGCCATTAGCCAACAGTTCTCGCACAGTTCGGTTCACCACAGACTCATCTGTCCCAGGGAATGGCAAAACCCACTTTTTGGTTTCTTTACTGTAGGTAAAGGGTAACCTGGGAGAAAAGAGAAAAAAGTGATGTGATCAGTAACACCAGACATAATCTTTTCTTTATGAGAATGTGAATGAGAGTTTTTAAATGACCTGGAATGAACAATTTTATACAAGCCAAATTACATTATCACAAATTTACACGATAAGTGGCTTCAACAAGATGTACCGATCAATCGACTTTTTGCCAAATGAAACAATGCTTTCATTAGCACAAGTGGTGGCATTTATGTAAGCCATGAAGGATGCCAACTTCAAGCAGAGAGAGACATCTTGAATGTAAGAAGAAAGGAAGCAAAGATCATTTTCAATACGGTAATGAACTACACCTACACAACATGTGAAATGAAAAGCTTTGAAAGGGAGGGGATAGAAGTGATCCAAAGGGAAGAGAAGGGGGAAAGGAAGGGAAAATAGAAATTAATTAACCATATCCGTACATCGTGTTTTACTATCGTATCCATACGGCATGGGGAACTCTGTGCCACCACTTTCTAAAGAGGAAATTTACTCGTTAATCCGATCCATACGCTTTGCATAGCTGTCAAAATGATTTTTTGAGAAATACTGAAAGTTTCAAAGAGATCTTCGTACTGGAAGTATTCTAAAATATGAAGAATACAACCCTGGGGGTACGAAATGACCCCAGGGCATACGGATAGGGTTAAACAGAAAGTGAGCAGAATAGAAGTGACTTGAAGAGAAACGAAAGGAAGGGATGTCAGAGGAAGTGAAATGAAATAAGGTGAGACCAAATGACAGGAAGTGAAGAGAAGAAAAAGGAAAGAGAAGTGTATACAGAAAAGCACAACAGGTAGAAAAGTACAGTTGAAATGATTCGAGACAGCCACCCATTATCGAAGAGAAAAGTGATAGTCTTAGACAGGCAAAACCCTTTCACAGTACATCATAATGTAAAAATTATACAAGGGAGGACATGGGAAGTGGCTGTTTGTCCAGGTGAGTGTCTTATACACGTGGTCCTTAGAGCAGCACTGTATTACCTTTTTGGGAGATAATAGTCCAGCTTTGGTAGAGGCTCAGGAAATAACGATCTCCTCAATTTTTCTACCTCGCTTGCATTAGCGATAGCGCACATTGCAGACTCCATTGTACCTGTGTTCAGTGCCCCGCCCTGTGAAAGGCACGGGAAGACCAGAACAAAATTTCGAAAGGCACAGCATGGCTGGTATAGCTCAGAACAGAAACGACCTAGCAAGGAAACTTGACTCTAGTCATTACAAGCTGGGAAGGATACTCCTCTTACTGGTGAGGAAACAACCCCTCTATCTTACCAACTGGAGCCTTCAGATATCAGGTTCTTTGGGGGGTAAGACCATTTCATTTCACCTGATTTAAGTGAAAAGATTAGGCAGTATAGCACCAAGTGAAAACCTTATGACTTAATGACAAGGATGCGCAAAGTGTCATTGACATAAGTATGTAAAAATTGGTTTTTAAAAAACCATTGTGATGTTTTTTAAGGACACATCATCACCGATTCCGATTCCTTATTTCAAAATTCAACCGTTCAAGATGCTTGTTTGTGTGGGTGTGTATTTTTATGGATTGATTTTGTTCAACTCACATGAGATTTAGAATGATTGAAACCAAACCAAAATTGTATACCTTATAAAAAGAACACAAAAGAAAATGTAAGATATTATATTTAATATATCATATATAAACAAGAAACAACATATATACCTCAGGTCCATGCTGAGTATTGAGGACAGCTTCCACATTTGTAAGCTCACCTGAATGAAACAAAATATTCCTTTAAAAAGCTTTTAATCACCTGATATAATAAAATAATAGCTGTATTTATACGGTGCATATACCTGCCCTACAGCATATCTTTTGCACATTACAACTATTATTACCCCCAGCAGACCCTAGACACATCAAAACATTCTTTGTTTCCCCAAAGCATACAGTGCAAGCATCTAGTTAACTGTTCAAACACCAACAAACTGACAAGATCTTTTGCCGTCTATAGCTGGGTACCCATTACAACCTGGGTGAATGTGAGGAATTTTGTAAGGAGTGTCTTTCCCAGTTTTTCATGTGAGAACATCTGGCAGCTAAAAAGCTGTTAATTGGTGGTACTAAGAAAATTTAGCTCACATAAAATTGAGGATATATTGATGAAAAAAAAAGTGAAAAAGTAGTCGTCACCTTCACCAAACTGTTGGCGCATGTGAAGAACACCCATATCAGCCGGAACACTATCGAAGGCAGCTGCACCGATGATGAACACCCCATTCTCCTTTGCCTTTGCATTGTACAGAAGCTGCATTTTTTCTAGATACTGGAAAGCATTAGAATGAAAGGTAATTATGATATCTTAGTGAAACACAAAATTTTTTCAAAGGTCAAAGTGCTTTTATACAAAGTAGGGTATTCCTTCCTTGAAAGGCTTATACAACTTCACCACAACTCTCTTGGTTGACCATTCCATTTCAATTATCATTTGAGTCCACTGGAGACATACAGCACTAAAACCTGTCAGGTGTACACAATTCTCCTCTACATATTTTAGCTCTACTGATTACCAAGAATGAATTTGCAGCTTGGGGGAAATGTGGAAACAGACACTTTTCCTACAAATAGAAATTTCACCTTTTTGCAGAGATGCGGGGAACCACAGTGACAACTTTGAGTTTGACACCAAAGGAATCAAAATAATAAATAAATCTCTGAGTTAGAGAAATCTGAATTTTTAAACGAAAAAATATTTAAAGTTTGGATGCTCGACTGTCAATTTTAGTGTGTGTGTGTGTGTGTGTGTGTGTGTGTGTGTGTGTGTGTGTGTGTGTGTGTGTGTGTGTGTGAGTGGGTGTGTGTATGTGTATGTGTGTGTGTGTGTGGTTTTTTGGGGGGATGGGTTTTGGGAAGTATTTTCAGCGCTCACAATTGCATAAGGTCATATGAGCACGTAGGAAACATTAAACCTTTTCAGTGGGTGGGACATTTTGAATTTTGCCCAGGTGGCGGCTGAAGCCTACTCTTATATCGATTTTAGAACACCAAAATTTTTCGCCCTTGTCCGAGAAGGCTAGGTGTAGATCTGTCTTACCAGTAGATCAGGGGTGAGGCTGAAAGACAAAAGTAAGAAGGAGCCAAAGAGCAGCAGTAGAAAGGCTGCAGAAAGAGTCAGTAGCCCAGAGGAGGGGGCAAAGGAGGTGAAGGGGTGGGGGTAGAAAGTGGAGACAAAAGCAGACGACAGTACATTGCTAGCGAGCTGGAAAGGAGGTGAAAGGAGACAATTTTAGAGAAGAAAACTTTTCCGTTGATACTCGTACTTGAACCCGGGACCTTTGAACGAGAAGTGAACACCTTAACCTCTAGGCCACGAGAGCCTCCCTCTGTGTGTGTGTGTGTGTGTGTGTGTGTGTGTGTGTGTGTGTGTGTGTGTGTGAGTGTGAGTGTGTGTTTGTGTGTGTGTGTGTGTGTGTGTGTGTGTGTGTGTGTGTGTGCGCACAAATATGAAAGCATGTGTTATATGAAGGGTTCTGTCAAAAAAAAAAATCTTCAGGTTCTATATAAAGTGAAAGTTATGTTCACTACAAAGATCCGAGCTAAACACATCATATCTAATCCAAATAAATTTTCTTTGGCCAACAAGTCCCCACAACCAACTTCTTCATGTAAATGTATAATTAATATTTTTCGGTTATGGATAGTGTGCATAGCAAGTTTTGCTACAGAGCCTTTAATCTTAATGATGGCTAATGAAAAGAAGGAAAGCATCCTCACTTGTGGTTCTCCACTGACGTCCAGATGGTGAGTTCCAGCCTCAATGCAGGCTTTCACAACTTGTTCTCCAAATAGAAGATACTGAAGAGAGAACAGATAATAGCAGACCATTAATATCAGCCACATGTAAAGTTTTTTCAGGTGCTGACAGTGACAGGGAAAGATGAAACACGCAGAACTCATGTAGTACATAGTAGAATGCAAAAGTAATTCTCTCACTCCAAAAGGTGTCCTCCCCTTTGCTATAATAGACACATCATCACACACACTCATATTCACACACACACATGTTCACACACACACACACAGACACACATACACACACAGGCTCACATACACATACACACACTCACACACATACGAACACAGACACACAGAAATTCCTTTTCCATAACTGTTATCAAAAGCTAAGACCGAAGTGATGATGAGACTAAAACTATATGATATATTACAAGTGTAAAACAACATGCCAAGAGAAATAGATTGATTATTTCAATGAGGCAGAATAAAGAAGATGAAAACCTATGATTAATATAGCAAAAAGTACAAATAGACTTGAAAATGTTGCTCAAGACCATTTTCTGAGCATGTCATACAAGCGAGGAAGTTATGATCTGAAGCTACTTCAATAACTTCAGAAAATGAAATCTAACTTTTAGAGTTCTTTTAGCTGTAATTATAACCTCCAATGACCCTCAAGGCACTTAAATCCCAATTTAGAGGGTCAAAGCCCACTGGAAAATGACTTGCAGAGCATGATGGGCTTTCACTAGGAATACAAGCTATGGTATTTGCCTGAGGCAAATACATAAACAGGAGATATTATCACATTACAATAATCAGTTGTGCACAGGTGAATCTTAAAGCAGGTTTAATTGTCCTTCAGGGAAAAGGTAATTTGTGCGCATGGTTAAGCACACAGGATGAAAAGGGAAAATAAAAGAAGAGGGCTGAGAAGCTAAGACTTACAGGACCAACACAGTTCAGAACAATTTTTGTTTGCTGAGCCATTGTGACCAGGGATTCCGAGCTATTTATGTCTGAAATGATGATGGGAACATCATCCAATCGTTTTCCTGCGATAAAAATTGCAAAAACATTTACTGGAGACTCTGTCATCTTTCAACAAACAAGAACAAATACCTGCATCTAATTTACACATTCATTTTTGGCATGTCATAGTACTGCTACTGTGAAGTGTTTGCATTTTCCACCAGCAGGTGAACTCACCAGTCTTGGCTTTTCCTAGCCACATGTTCCTATTGAGAATAAATAAAGAACATTGACAACGGAGCACAGATGGGATTGTAACCTTCTGCTGTACCTCTAACGAAAGAGATGCAAAAGGTATCAACCATACTGAAGGAGAGTTGGTATTTTAATGTGGAAAAGTAGCTTCCACTGGCAAATACAACACTACTAAAAGTACAGCTAAATAAAGTCGGAGAATATGGAGAACAAACAAGCATTGGAAGAGGAGATGGGGGATGGGGTTGCATTTCAATACATTAGACGCTATGAGTTTTGGGGTGGAGGATCTTAATGAAGGAATAAATGACCAGCCAAATGCAGCTCAGAAGGTGGGACTTCACAGAAAAGGCCTTTTTGAATAAAATACATAAAAGACTTTCTCTGCATGTAAAAGCAATGATGACATTTTAAAGAAACCCATTTTATTCATGGAGAACTTATTGGTGCCGCATATTGATCTCTCTTAAATTGGTTGTAAAATGAAGCCAATTATCTCTGGTGCAAGTTTAAACAGGAAAGGCTACATATGTAAAATGGAGAAAAGAAAAATTATAGGAGTTGAAATCCTATCCTTCAATTGTGTTCCCAGCTCATTTCAACCCTAAAAGTAACTCATTTTTACGCAGCAAGGCCTATTTTCTTATTAGAACACGTTTCAGTTCAAGACTTGTTATATATATGTCCCTTTCATGTATTCTGACTAATTTACATGAGATGTGGTGTCTTTAGTTCTAGAAAAGAATTTTGTCTTAACATCTAGGTTGCTCTATCCTCCATATTTAGGTGTCTCTAAGTTTTTCATCTACTTCTGAGAAAAACTGAAGTTCCATCCTACACACTTCAGGAAGAATAGCTGTGAGAAAAATTTGGAAAAAAAAGGAATTCACTGACCATGTCTGCACAAACCAAGAGAAAAAAGAGGTATACTTCATTGGCATGAATGTTGAAGCCCCCAGCCCTCAATCAATATCTCTAATCTAATGAGCCACTGAGTCTTCATGCTCGTACTGTAATTATATAGTAGGCAGTGGGTCACCAGTCACCCACAATCCATGGAGGTGGGAATTAGTTGTAACTTAAATCAATAATGGTAGAATTAGGACATAATTTCAAAAGAGTTTTAAAAAATGCAATAATATATTACCAAGTTTAATTAATTTCAAAGGTTTCCAGAGTGAAAGGTTCTAAATTACCTGTTCGCTCAGAAGCTTTGGAAATCACCCCTTGTAATTTTGTTATATTCCGACCCGAAATGGCCCACTCCAGGGATTCTTCTTCTGCGATGCGAGCCATCTCTTCAACAGTATGTTGCCCAGTGAATCCAGTAGCTCCGAAAACAACGATGTCATACTTGCGACTCATGCTGTCTGTGATAAACAGAGATTTATGAGCTACAAACAAATTTAATAGCAGCTTAAAAAGCCCTTTAAAATAAATTAAACAGTAAATATTTATAGGGAGCAACTTCCAAGCAACACTATATAATTCTTTCTGGACTTTCCGTATTCTACCCGTACTGTGTTCACGTTTCGTTTTTTTGTCTTCTTATACGGGGTGCCCACTACAGCTCGATAGCCTGAAACTGAAAACAAACACGTTTGTTTTTGAGGCGATCGAGTCGGGCGATCGGCCCGATCGGCCGATCCCGTCCGTAGTGGGCACCCCGTATTATTTTACCTTCCATTTCAGTATGGGACAGAATTATTAGCTTACAGTCTACGCAAACCTTTTTCCATGATTTTTATAACCACATATGCATGCACAGCTATTACTTAATTAAGCTAATTCATGCAGGGTACAAACAATGTTTTAACGACACATACATATTAATGTGTGTGAAGACACGATAGGCTACCAAAGCTATTTAATCAGTCCTAAACTTCGAGAAATTAGTAGTGAGCAATGGGCGGTAGGCTTGCAAGCGGCAGCGGTAGAAGTAGATATAGATCTAGATCTAGATCTAGACTGCATTTTTCTTTTTTTTCTTTTAGACACTCGCATTAAGTTAACTTTAATAATATAGAATTGTGAATAACTTTGTGGTAACAGCCATACGGCCTATACCTGGTCAGGTAAACCCGCCTTGCGGTGCTACAAAACACGGAACTTTGTCTCAGCAATCAGCGCAGCAGGTAACGCACAATCACTGAATCAGTACAGCTGTGTTGTGTGTAGCACAGTGAAATAGCCTAGATGTCCACCAGCAGTTTGTTTACCTCTTACAACGACCTTTGACTTCCTGTGGTGACGTCATGGACGGTTTTATCTTTCTTTCTTTGCATGGGATTCATTGTGACGAGCTTTTCGCGTGTTTCGAGGTCCTCATGTTCGCATATTAACCAAAGAGGTTATACATAGAACTAGAGGCATTAGCTTTGACGTCACGAGTGTCAAAATTGAGGGGCCAGCCGCCACTCGGGAGAGGAATAAAAAGCCAGTCTGTGTACAGCAACACTTTTCAATCACGAATTAATGGTACTATGCGAAGTCCTTTTATGTTGATTTCTTTTTCATGCGATTTCTCTATCGCTAAAATGTATTGAAAGGGATTTTTGTGATTGTTTAGGGGAGAGTGGGGAGAAGTGGGCCGCACCCCCTGAAAAGCAAAATCTAGAGGTCAAGTGCACTTTTGCATAATATATAATTTAAAAAAACTAACAAACAAATTTTCCAGCACAAGGAAGCTACTTCCTTCCTTTTTCAGGGCGGTTTGAGTGAATGGCGTGGAAAAGACGTTTTCGTCAATAAAAAGTTGAAATACTTGATTTTTTAAACTGGCAACTTTACCACAAAGAGGAGCAAAGCAGATCTGGTAAGTGTAACAATAGTTAAAGAACTTATCTAATTACTTATTTTCCTTTAGTTCTCCGTGTTTTAACTTCCAGTTGAAGAAAACATACCTTTGAATAGTCAGACTGCCAATGGGGAGAAATAAAGTGGGCCACCATTGGCCCAGTTCTCCCCAGTTGTAGAAAAATAATCTTCAACACCTTTCCGTGCTATTTTAGACATTATTATTACATATTTTGTTTGAATATAAGATAAAGGTAGAGGCTTAGATCTTGATCTAGACTTTTAAAACAAATCTTGGGGTAGTACTGTAGTCTACCATTTAGGAGTTCCCTCATTGGTGCTCTAGTGTGACATTGTGTACTTGCTTCTTTCTAGTCTTTAGGCAAAGACCAGCGTCCCGAAGACACGCATTAATTGATTTATTCTTCTTTTTTTCTGTTCAATCTATAGCGACGGTGCTACGTATCAAAGGAAGACCGGCATAGGCAGGCACAGCCTTACCTGATACAATGAACAATGCAGCGGCAGCTGTCAGAAATAGAGTGCCTTTGAGAGAAGTCACATACCTTCACGGCATTGCTCGCCAGTACCCTTCTAAACCATGTGAAGAAAGCTCTTCAAGATGATGTTGAATTGTGTCCAAACTAACGTCACTGTCAAATACATGTATTCACAGTGGAACAGGAGGCTGAATTGACGCAGTGCATGTTGAAATGTGCTTAAAGATCCTAACTGCAAAACTCATCTATGAAGTCGCTGTTGCAAATCACCTAAAACCTTTCGTACCCATCTTCGTGGGATGATACACAATGTTCCGGAAAGGAGTGGCAGATGGGTTTTCTTTGGAGACATCCACAACTCACTACTCAGTTTGCGACCACCAGTGGCTACCTCATTGGCAAGAGCCGCAGCTTTCAACAGACATTCTGAGGGAACATTTTCAACTTGCTGCACGCTCTTTCTAGATAGCGACCTGGGTATCTCTGGATCTCAGATACTCAATCTTGATGAAATAGGAATCATACAAGCCCACAAAGTCCCGAAAGTCGTCGGACCTCGTGGTATAAGCAGTTGGGCCAGATGTCATCAGCAGAGCACGGCGTGGTGAGTGAGTTCTCAACAAAAACCACCCAGGTTTACTATGTTACGGTTGTTGTCAAAGAAAGAGACGCAGGTGATGTTGGCTTTATTTTTTTCCAGAAGAAAGGGCAAAAAGAACCGACACTTTGTGAAACCAGCAGTGGAAGATATTTCCTCACTCCATATTGACTCTATCAGAGTCATTTTACCCCACCCACATTTTGAATTCAGAGACACTATTGCAAGAACCATAGAGGTGACATCTGTTTCTATGTTGACTTAGGACACTTTGGTGGTCTTAATTTCCGTTAAATTTCATATTTGTGCCCTTGTCAGGAAAGTATTGTTTTTTAGTTTAGGTTCCGATAGCCCTGGTAACAGAAGCACTCGTAGCCCACTTCTCCCCACAGAGGGGGGGGGGGGGGGGCAATTCTCCACACCCTTGGCCCACTTCTCCCCACTTGTAATGTTGACTTCAGCACCCTTTTCAATCATTTTCATTCTATCTCTGTTGTACCGCTTATAACTGGTTTTCAACCACAATAAAAGTTCTTTAGATTGATATAAAGCATTTTGTTCTTGTTTTTTTTCATTTTTGAGATATTTCGTTTTTTTCAAAACTCCTCTCACGGTGGCCCACTTCTACCCACTCTAACCTACCTTTAAATGAGCCAGATAATCTCAAAATAATTTAAACACAGTCTTTTACACGGTGAGACCATATATGGGTGAGTAAAATCCAGAAAAAAATGAATGAAATGGATTTGATGATCCATTGTTAAAACAACAAACCTAATTTTACTGAAATCTTTTGCTGTGCGTCGCTCAAACAGTATGTCTAGATTTGGCACCGCTGACCACAACAAGGCGCTCGTATCCGGCCTCTGGAATCAGGAATGTAACTGAGAAGCTGGTAGAAGCTTCAGTTGCAACTCTAACACACCTTCAAGGCTGGCTGAACGGAAAAAGAACCACTGTCGATGTTGTTGGGATGAGAGAATATTTTGTAGCCAACCAGCGCGACTACCCACTGATAAGACCGGTGTAATATTCTGTCTCATTTGGGGAAAGGATGCCAAACAGATTGTGCAAGAGCAGCAGCAGGGGTTCCTGGAAGATTGGGAGTTGTGTAGCCGAACACCATTGCCAATCAACGCCAATTTTAGAAAATATTTTGAACGTTAAAGGTAAACCGGCTATCTATCTAAGTGTTGCATTTTAAAATATTAATGTCAGTTTATCATTATTTGTGCCCGATATTAAACAACGCTATTTTGAGTGTGCACCCATGATCCATACAATGAGGGATTTACAGTATCCCCGCCTGCAATTAATTGCTCATTATGAGACAATAACGAATTCTAGGCTTTTCATCAGTAGAAGGGGAGTGTAGACAACACGACACGAAAGCAATCCATTTTGTAAGTATGAAATTGTCCTTTTAAAAAAAACTCAATTACTCACTTTGTCTCCCTCCGCCCCTCCCCCCACCCCACCCGGGAAAAACTAACAATACCTCATATTGTATAACTTTGTCCATTTGTAGCCCACATTTACGTGCTTTTATGTCTCCCACAATCGGTCAGCAGGTGCGGTATTGTGTATGCGTGTATGTTATATATGATTAAACAACAACAGTAAACAAAACAAAAAACTTACAATAAAACTGAACTGACCTTCAAACTCTATGAAGACCTAGGCGTTGCGAGAGACGCGCAACGTGACAGAGCTGTTTCTAATCCTCTCAAAAATGGCGACAAAGCGAGCTGAGTGGACTTTGGAGTTATAGCGGTTATAGTTACTCCAAGGAGTGGACCCGCACAGCCATAGTGGGGGGGGGGGGGGGGTTTACATGGGTGACGTCAAGCTGCGACCTCTAGTACTGTTAAAACCTCTTTGATATTTACTACTCTTTGCAAAAGTAATGGTTTTGCAACAGTTAAAGAAGAAGAAGAAGAAGAAATAAAAAGAAAGAAAAAAACATGTCGTGATCTCTTGTTTACTAAGAATGCCTTGAAATTTATCTGAGTACAGTTTGTTGTTATAATTTTTTTAAAAAATCAATGCTTTTTATACGGCGCTCGCAACTGCTTAAGGTAATATGAGCGCGTGGGACACATCAAACATTCTCAGTTGGTAGGAAATTTTGAAATTTGCCCGGGTGGCAGCCGAAGCTTGGGCCTATTGTAACTCCTTGTTATCAGGAATATCATTGTAGGAAGTTAAAAGACTTCAAACTGTCCCAAACAATGCAGCACGTTTAGTTTTACGGAAAAGAAAGCGAGACTCTGCAAAACCTCTTTTACGGACACTGCATTGGCTTATTCCTGTTCAGAAAAGAATTGTGTACAAGTTGGACATGTCACAAAATTTTGATTAATGTTTGAATGATAATGTACCATCATATTTATCAAATCTATTAAGACTGTACTTTCCAACTCGCAGTTTAAGGTCATCAGCTGACAAAAAGAAATGTATTTTACCATCTATGAAATTTAAAATTATGAAAGGATATTTGAATATCAATTTCAGGCCCCAAGATCTTGAATGCTTTACCAAGTACTTTAAGAGAGATCAAATCTTTTGATTCATTCAAATGTCGGCTGGAGTCGTTTCTGTTTTTAAATAAAAAAGATGAATATTTGGAGTAATTTTCTTTTAGTCAGAACACAACGTTTTATGTTACTGTTTTACGTTGTAGGCCTACTGTATTGTAAAGCGCTGAGAGCCTGTGTACTTTAATCGGGGTTGAGCGCTATACAAATGTCAGTTATTCTTCTTCTTCTAATTTTTCTTCTTCTTCTTCTTATTTTATTTTTTATTATTACTCTTACCGTGTTCAGACCACCAAGGGATCTTTAACGTGCGCAACTTGCACACGGGACTTCCGAGATTTTTTCGCCCTTGTCAGAGAAGGCTAGGTGTAGATCTTTCCTACCAGAAGATCAAGGGTGTGGCTGAAAGGCCGCAGTAAGAAGGAGCCAAGGCGTAGCAGTAGAAAGGCTGCAGAAAGAAGCTACCGAGGAGGGGGTATATAGGGGCAGAAAGTGGAGACGAAAGCAGACGACATAACCTTGCTAGAGAGCAGGAAAGAAGGTGAAAGGAGACAATTTTAGAGAAGAAAATTTTTCGGTCGCTACCCAGATTCGCACCCTGGACCTTTGAATTAGAGGCGAACACCTTAACCTCTAGGCCACAAGAACCCCCCCCCCCCCCCGTTAGCAGTTTGAATGTTATATGAATCTTCTGATAGCTATAAATGTAATAATTCATGATGTTATAACTGGCAGATTGATGCTAAATTATTAATAGTTGTAAAGATGCTTTCAATATCATA